TAATTGTAAAAGATGAAGTTATCTCCTTTGTCTTAAAAACTTCTATCCATTTAGAAAAAGAAGCTATAATTATAAGTAAATAAAATGAATTTATCGGACCCACATGTATTGTCTTCCATGCAGATTCAGTTGGTGACCATGGAATTAATTAACTCTTTTGTGGACTTGCCTGCGTCATTTGGCAAGATATACATTGTTTGATCAACAATTCAATGTCTTTAGGCCACCATATGATGTATGTAGGTGAACGTGGTAACATTTTTGTTTTTACTATGCCCAAATGTGATTCATGTAAAATGTTTAATAATGTTTTTCGCAATTGCTTTTGAATAAAAAGGCTCAAATTCTTTACCGTTCAATTGAGAAATTATACCCACTTGAACAAAATAAATCAATTTAGATAATTTTAGATCTCTTCGTGTTTCTTTCTTAACATCTTTATAATCCAATTGTAAAATATTAACAAAACCCACATAATTGATGTAACTTGAATCAGATTCAATTTCACCAATTATAGACTGTGACATACGAGACAAACCATCTTTAATTATTTAGTGATCCTTTGATATACTCAGCTTATTAATTAAATCCAGACAAAATTAATGCCCATCTTTGCATGCGAGAAGTAGCCATTATAGGAATACCCTTATTCTCACCAAAAATAGCTAATAAACGCTTGTGATCTGTACGTAAAGTGAAAAACACACAATATAAACAATAGCTAAAGCCTCTTTTTCAATCGTGCTATAATTCTTTTCAGCATAATTTAATGCTCTAGAAATAAATGCAATTGGACGCAACTTTCCATCTGAACACATATGAGAAAGTTCTGCTACAACTGCTGAATTACTAGCATCAGTTGATAGAACTATTGGCAATTTTGGATCAAAATGTATCAAAACACGATCTGAGCAGATTTCTGTTTTCATATTATCAAAATCATTTTGACATTCCCTATTCCAATCAAACATGAAATCTTTTTTTTAATAAACTATATAACGGTGTAATTTGGTATGAACATTGAGTGATAACTAACCATACCAATGAACGCTTTCAACTCACTAACATAAGTAGGAGTTGGAGAGTTAAATAAACTCTTTATTCTTTCTTTATTTTCACTGAAACCATTTTTGTCAATATCAAACCCTAAATAGGAAATTTTGCTCTTGAAAAATTCACATTTATTAACATTTAATCTAATGCCTTATTTTTGAAGTTTATCTAAAACTTTTTTAAGCAATTTTAAATGTTCAAAAACATTTATACCAGTGATTACAATATCATCTTGATATGCAAACACATTTTCTAACTCACTGAGTAAACATTCAATAGTTTTTTGAAAAATTGCTGCTGATGGCTTTACTCCAAAAGGCAATCTAGTCATTTTAAAAACTCCTCTGTGTATACAACTTTTGTGATTTCTTCATCCAAAACAAGTTGATTATATGCATTAGAAAGATCTAATTTAGTGAACATTTTTCCACCTTGCATTGATGCAAATATCTGATCAATTCTAGGCAATGGGTATTTGAAATCAGCTAAAAATCTATTTATAGTTGTCTTACAATAAGCACAATTGACCATTTGGTTTAAAGATTGGAACTAAAGGATCAGAATTATCAACTGGAATTAAAATACCGCTATTTACTAATTCATTTAACTGCATTTCTAATTCCTTTTTCCAGGCCATTTATATTGACCTAAACTTTTAAAAATTTCGGCAAACTCATTTTTAATTTGAGAAACAGTTTCATTATAAGAGTTAATAAAATTACCTTCATCATTTTGACAAAAACATTTCTTTTGAACTAACTCCAAACCAAATGCACGTAAAAAATCTCTACCCAAAAACGATGGTTTTTCTGCATTTGGTACTACAATTTTTCCAAGAATTCTTTGGCCTCCAAAAATAATAGTTACTTTAAACTCACCTTCATATGGTTCCAATATTTCATTTGAAAAAATCGATATGTATGGACATCAATGAACAAGAAAAGATCGAGAAGTCCCAGCTAACCGTATCATCAACACTAAATATTGAAGAAGAAATATCATTAGAAGAACTATTGTTTCTTGAAAATTATCTAAATTGATAAAATTTGTATCTTCTCTCTTATTTTTACAAATATTTCTCAAATGACCCTCCAATCCACACGAATGACACCTATTATTCTTAAATTTGAAATTTTTGGAATCAGGATTTCCCCATCCACAATGACTGAATGCTTTCTTCTTTGAATTATTGTTGCAGTACATTTTTGAATTGTTGTTCTTAAAATTGTTCTGTTTACCATGCGGTCGAATGAACATAAGGGGCCGTTCATTAATTACGTGAGGTGTTTAGGGGGGGGAGGGGGTCGAGCTAAACCTCACCAAATCTCACGCGGGGGGGAGGGGGGCTCTCGGCAAATATCACGTAATTTTTTTTTCCGAAAGAAAGAGTGTAAAATTGCGAGAAAACTGGGTTAAATTAAGTAAACAATTATAAGCAAATTGTTTTTTTTTAATAAATCTAATGGAATCAAGCACAGATTAACTTATTTACATTAAAACCATGCATTTTAAAAAATCTCACGTGAGATTAAGGGGGGGAGAGGGGGTCGAGCAAAATCTCACGACATCTCACCAAGGGGAGGGGGGGGGTCGAAAAATCGCCAAAATTGTCTCACGTAATTAATGAACGACCCCTAACCTCGCCATCCTCTTTGACTAACATTTTCGATTCTTTGATGTATGCTTTATTTAATGCATTTTTCAAAGTAATAGTTTTATCCTCCTCACACAACAAAAATTGGAGCTGGCAATTCAACTATAAACTTATCCAAAACAATCTGATCCAATGCTGTGCCAAATTTACATTTTAATTCAAATTGCTTCACCTTGGCAAACCATATTGATTCATTATCTTCATCTGATTTCTTTAAATCATAAAAAATTTTCGCTCACGGAAAATAATAACTGGGGGCATAAAATGCTGTGATAAAATATCACATAAATCCTTATATGTCTTCATATACGGCAATGTTGGACTACATATATTATGTAAAATATTATAAGCTTCTGCACCAATTGATTTTAGTAAAATCGACATTTTTATTTTTTCTTTAGTGCAATTAATTCCAAAAAAATGTAATTCTAATCCTTCATTCCAAAGTTCCCAATCTTCATTTTTAGAAAACTCCGACATTTGCGAAGAATGAACCATTTTGATTTGTTCGCTTCTTTCCGTAGTATTCAGCATTGTCAAATATTATTTAAAAAAAAATATTTTTATTACTTGTAAAAATTTTACCAATATAATTGACTCGTCTCCAATGAAATGTATTCAGTTCAGTGGTTTGTAGGAAAAGAAGAACTAGTTTATTAAATTATTCGTTTTAAATGTTGTGTTTCTTACGGTAGTGTCTCCCCGACCGTCGGACGGACGTAGAAAAGTGTGTGCTCGACCGTCGGACGGACGTAGAAATGTGTGTGCTCAACCGTCGCATATTTTAACCTCATTTTCAACTAGAGGCTAAATGTAGCAAAGTATTCCTCAAGGTTATGACGAAAAGCTGTCATTTTGGTTATGCAGGTACACTGCATTGTGCCATACCAAACTAACCCAAAACTTAACAACCCAACCCAACCGACCCCGCCCCATTGGGCCCCTCCCGCCCCATTGTCACAATCCAGCCTGCCCTTAGATATATTATACCTCTATTGCTCAATGGGGCGGGAGGGGCTCAATGGGGCGGGGTCGCTTGGGTTGGGTTGTTAAGTTTGGGTTGGTTTGGTATGGCACAATGCAGTGTACCTGCATAACCAAGAGGACAGCTATTCGTCATGACCTTGAGGAATACTTTGCTACATTTAGCCTCTATAGTCATTTTCACACGTTTGTACGTCCGTCCGACGGTCGAGCACAAACATTTCTACGTCCGTCCGACGGTCGAGCACACACTTTTCTACGTCCGTCCGACGGTCGGGGAGACACTACTGTTTCTTACAGAGAGACTTTATAACCCACAACATAACTTTCAAATTGACATTTGACAGCCCTGATAGAATAAGGTTTATTTTTTACAAAAGAGGAGAAAAATGATTGTTCTTACCACTATGAGGTCTCTTTTAAGGCTTGCAAGTCTCTCTGTAAGACACACAACGCGTTGCAACGTTTAAAACGATTATTTATCTGTACAAACCCAAAGCACAAGAATTGTAAACAACAAAAATGGCCGCCAGAGCAGACCTTGTTATGTGGATTGTGCATTAATCATTATTAAAAGTCAGTTAATAATGAATCTTCTGACATTATTTTTCTTAGCCATCTAATACATTACAGTTATTTGTTGCGATTTTTTATGCGGATTTAACTCTGCATATCCTATATCTGCAGTCCTTTAAGCGCTTGTCTCCTGTTTTGTCTTCTTCAAAAGTCAAGTACAATTTTTTTTTCTGCACAAGTTTTGCACAGGTTTGCCACTATTTTCGCACAGTATCACTAATTCAAATGTTAATATTATACCCGAGCAATGTTTTTTGTATACGGTTTTTTTAAGAGAACGCTCGCACGACTCTTAGACGCTACCGAGAAAAAGATAGAGCGTCTTGAATGTAATAAAAATTATAGCTAAACGCAGGCATGCAGATAAACTTTTTTTGGATTTTAGGATTTTGGATTTTAGGCAATTGATTAACCAGATTTGGTCATCGCGATGCATTTCGTTTTGAATCATTTGCAGAATGTTGGCCGAATATTATGGACCGAAAGTCATTATATTTATTTTACAAATTGAGTTAATTGATAGTTTTAATGCATCCACCTTTAAATCGCACTACTATCTGTTTTGATCTTTGTAAAACTCTTTTAAGGTCGTAATTTGGTTAGAAAAGATGAATGTAAAAATTACGGTTTAATTTTTCGGCCGAAAACCAAGTTTTAAACCTTTTAATGGAGCATATTTGGTTTCTTTAAAATAAGGTTGAGCTTTGCTTAAATTATGGGTTATCTTACTTACCCCTAAAGCCAAATTAACTGCAGGTTTAAAAGCGAATTGTAATGCAGCATTGGAGATGTTGTGCATATAAGATGGTGGTGCTAAAGCAGCCATAATATTAATTTTGTCATTATATTCTGGTCTTGTAGCACACATTACTAAAAACGAAGTGCAACCTTGGGAATGTCCTATATAGGATAACTTGGGTTTGCCGGTTTTGTTTATTATATAGTCAATTTTTGCGGGTAAATCATAATAGCCAATTTCGTGGAAACTACAAAATGAACGTTTTTAAAGTTTTCTTTGTTTTGAATCAGGTATACTCCTATAAACTCACCTATAGTCCCAAAATTTCCTGTCGTCGATATTAAGATTAGTATGATTTCTGGACCAAGTATTTCCCCTACAATTCCCCAGCCACACGTCGTATCCACGGTCGGCCAACATAAGCCCAATTGATTTTTCACTTCCGTAATTCACAAAATCCATTGAGCTGCTTCCCAAACCATGAACCAAAAGAACTGGAGGCTTGCCATTTTTTTGAAAATTTCCATCTTTGTTTGTAATTCTATGCATTTGAAGTATGTAGTTATCTTCTGTTGTGACGAAGTGGGATTCTATTTGATAGTTGTGCCTTTTTAAGTACTCCACCTACAAAATTAAATAACATTTGCGTGGATTATTTTTTGTAAATAGGTAGATTATCTAAACAAAAATGTGTTGTTAGGTTTTATAAATACCTCCCTTTAAAAATGACTGGTTGTGATAGTGAAGAAGCCGCCACTAATGGTCAATTCTCATATAACTTGTTCCGATGCTGTATCCACTTATTTTTGTGAAAACTAATTCTCGCTCAAGGTTTTTTTAGTGTAATAAGCATGTAGCATTTCAAGGTAATGGGAACTTAAATTATGACAACCCTAATCTATTAATTTTTTCCTAAAATGCAGGCTTTATGTTGCAAATGTCACGTAAGTTACCGGTCACCAACTGCAATATCCTAACATCGATGAATATTTCAACAAAATGGCCGTTCAAACAACTAATGTTAGTGCTTGATTAACTAAAAATAGACTTAAGATTGACAAAAAATTATTTTATCCGAAATCGGCAGTAAAGTAGTCAACAATCGTAAATTAAAATAAATCGGCAGTAAAGTTCTACTTTACTGCCGATTTCGGATAAAATAATTTTTCGTCAATCTTAAGTCTATTTTTAGTTAATCAAGCACTAACATTACTTGTTTCAACAGCCATTTTGTTAAAATATTCATCAATGTTAGGATATTGATAAGTTCCCATTACCTTAAAATGCTACATGCTCATTACACTAAAAAAAACCTTGAGCGAGAATTAGTTTTCACAAAAATAAGTGGATACAGCATCGAAACAAGTTATATGAGAATTTACCTAATAACTGTAGTCCATTCCCGGACATTTAACAATTCCGATGTAAAATTGTCTGCTGAATCCAAAAATACCGCCAAAAGTTATAACAGAAGGGCAGTTTTTGAGATATAATTAGTTAATCTCATTACACATTTAAAAAAAATTAGATTTGTTAACATCAGTTTGTAGTTTGTTACTTTTATTTTGTAAAATGTTATCATAAATATTTGTATAAAACCAGGGATTGTAATTATTTTAACAAAGACAAACATTTTACCGAAAGTTTTGTAAAGGTACAGTTGTATCCCACACAACACCTAATATTGCTAATATATTGAAAAGCCGTTTAAACGCCAATATTGGTAATATAATATTTGACAAATATTACATTAATATTTATCAGATTGCTATAGCTTGTTGTTTTCTAAATATTGTATAAATGATTTATTAATCATTTGGAAATATTCAAATTTAGTATCCGATGAGTTACGAAATTTGACGAAAAAGAACGCGGGAAATCATCATTTCCTTCTTTATCTCTGCATCATTGAGCGTCCATTTTGCATATTGGTGAATTTTAAGACTTAGACCATTTAACGTGAATTACAGAACATAGGTGAATAATAAAAGGTGCAAAACGATTTTAAGTCTATAAAACTATATATAGTGGCAAAGTGGTATATCTTCACAAAAAGGTAAGTACCTACACATATTTTTTCTTTAAAAGAAAATAAGAGGGGAAAATAGAGTGCCTACTTGTTGCTGAATAATCGAATTAATATACAATTATCAGTAGTTATTTTTATACATTTTATTACTTAAATTGCTGTGCGTCTTTTATTTAGTCGTATTCTAAACTTATTCTAACCTAGGCAAGCTTGCAACTAAAATATTTTTTGTGGTTTTTTTCTTATAAATCCTCGAATGCATTCGAGGATTTATAAGAAAAAAACCATGCATGCTTTTTACACAAGGAAAAAAATAGATTTAACATACTGTAACATATTTTTCGAGGATAAATGAAGCGTGTAGATCCAAAACCTGCTATAAGCATTCACACTTGATTTTCCAGGAGATTCAAAAAACGATTGTAATTGACCATTGGTACCAGCCTCATGTTTACAAGTTTCTTGAAGAATTATTAGTAGGTGACATAGTTTTATTTTCAGTTTTTACTACAATAACAGCAGATAAAATGGCACTAAGCAGGTTTTGATCCTCACTTTCCATTTTAACGGGTTCCAAACCTTATAATAATTAATAGGCAGTCGAAGAATACCTTCAATAATAATTATTACAAATAAATTATTGACAGATCGTAAGATGAATCTACAGATTACTATTATGGCTTAAAACTTTGGCAGTGTCTTACTGTAACGAGCTGAGATTCAAGATTCTGGCAACATTTACAACTTTAAATTCATAGAAAAGCAATATAGCAGATTTTGGATCTATACAACTTAAATAACAATTTTCTTAAGGTAGTTGTTGTGTGATATACAGGGTGTTTTTTTAATCCATGTAGGTAGTACATAATATATTATATATATAATATATTATATATATACAGGTTGTCCCATAACTTGTGACCCAAAGAAAAAAGAAGGGGATGTGCGGACAGCAATGTGATACACATTTTCGAAAATTTTAATTTTCCAAAGGATAAGCGAGATAAGAATAAAAACGATAGCCAATCACAATTAATGGTTAAGAAGAAATCAATAATGACCATTCGCAAATTTACATTATTTAACATTAACCTAGTTTTTTAGCCAAACATCAAATCGTTTTTTAAATATTATTAAAAATTTGGTAAAATTTAAACTTTGCTATATCTACCTATAACAAAAAAGTATGAATTTTACCACACTTTTAATTATAATTAAAAAACGTGTCGATAGATTTGTCTAAAAAACTAAGAAAATGTTAAATCGTGTAATATTTATGTTTTAAAAAGAAAAACAAAAATTTTTTGCTGTTCAATTTTTGTAATGGGGATCTTGATATAATATATATACATATTATGTACTGTTAAATTGTTCTATGTTTAGGACGATTTTAACCAAAACTTAACGGTAAATAATTTTATCTACTCCTACATTGACGAGCTGTTTATGGCATTTTATTGACGGGCTGAAGTTAACAACAGTGGCTTTTCGACATTTTACGTCACGGGCTGAAGTTAGCTTTATTATAAATTGGGAAAAAGTGAGGTTAAATTCGGGTGACAGTTGACAGATGTCAAAATTTTAACAAATAAAATTGGCTTTAAATTCTGTTTTGTGTTCGTCGTAGATAAAGTATAGTATGCAACTCGTTTATAAACTTCTCTAGACACTCGTTTTTATTAAACACTTGCTCGCAAGCTTCGCTCGTGCTTAATTAAACTCGTAACTAAAATGGCGTTTATAAAACTTGATACATAATATACTATAAATTTTTACTAGTCTTTTTTTTTACTTTTTATTGAAATGAAAGTGCATGCAATTTTTAATAAAATAGATAATTAGTGACCGTCCATTAATTACGTGAAGCGTTCAGGGGGGGAGGTGGTTAAGCCAAATATCACCTAATCTTACTAAGAAATAGTAAAAAATTGTAAGAAAATTGGGTTAAATTAAGTTTTGTTTTTTTTGGAATAAATTTAACGCACTTATAATAAAAACATATTTAAAAAATGGGAGATGGGAGGAGGGGGTTGAGCCAAAAATCGCGAAAAACGTCCCACGTAATTAATGGACGCTTCCTTATTAATATCATTAGATACCAAAAAAAGGAAGGTTTTCTAACGAGTAAAATTTTATTCATAGCTAAAGGTAAAATTATTTTATTTTCAACCATATTATGTAATATTGACGTTGTTTTTTTTTTAAATCAAGAAAGTTTAACTTTACTGGTTTATAGACCTATAGGCAGGCAAAACTGACACTTTTTTCGCCTAGACCAGTAATCTAACAGCTGTCAAACTATTCTTTTGTAGCTAAAAACTTGATGATTCTGATTGAAAATAAAATTGTATACATTACCCCATAAACTATCTGATCTCTCGACTAGTAATGAAAGACTTTCCATCTCGCATAATATAATACTATAATAATAATAATACCAATTGGTACTATTTGGAATGTTAAATCACTGTTTGTAATTTGTACTGTTCATCTGTGCTTTTTCAATTTGGTGCTGGGTTAACATGCTATTAACTTTAAAAGGGTGTTTTTGTATGAAACTATAATAACTTATTTATTTTGCTGTCTGCAGAATCATAAAATAAAAATGCCTAAGGAAGTTTCAAGTAGACACAGAAACCGTCTTCTGCAAAAGATGGTGAACACGACCATATCAGAAATAAATAAAGAAGCAATGCTTCGTGTAAATACTGCGACTACCTCGTCGCTATCCTCTGAGATATTTTCGAGAAACACCGTTTCAAATGAAGATCGTTCTGAGAGTGATTCCTTATCTTCTAATAATGAACAACCAGATTTGTTAGACATACCGAATAATTGGATTAGTTCAGATGACGATTATGATATGCATGATGGTATGTTTTTCTGCTCCTTTAATATTTTAATCTATTATATTGAACCATAGATTTCCTAGGAGAAGACAATGGTTCAACTAATATTTTAGATGACGTTATGCAGGAAACCGAGGAGACCGCTGGTTTGACACTTACTGAAAAATTATGTACTTGGGCTACAGAAGAAAATATTTGCCAGACTAAATTAAAAAAATTATTGGATATTCTTAAAGCAGAGACGGACTTAGAAGCCTTTAAGGATCTTCCCAAAGATCCTCGAACATTGCTACAAACGCCAAGGAAAAGTTTGGTGAAAACACTGGATAATGGAAATTTTCATTATTTTGGCATAACAAATTCCTTGAATAATTTTCTTCGACAATGTAATTATGTCGTTTCGAAGAAAGACAAAATTGAATTAATAGTAAACATTGACGGTTTGCCTTTAAATTTAAGTTCAACAAGTTCATTGTGGCCGATTTTGATAAGAGTGGATTCACTTGAAAAACTGAAAAATTATGTTGTTATGGTGGGTGCTTTTCATGGATATGCTAAACCCTCATCCTCAAATAATTATTTAAAAGAATTTATCAATGAGTGTTCTGAATTAACAACTAATGGCATTTTAATACAAAATAACAATCTCGAATTCCGTGTCAAAATGTTCGTATGTGATGTACCGGCAAAATCTTTTATTTTGAATGTAAAAGGACACACATCTGAAAATGGTTGCACAAAATGCC